ATTCAGCTCCCTCTCCAAATTATAATTTCCTGCAACTTACTACATTCCTCGTGAACCTGCATCTATACAGTAACAGAAAGCTTCAATTGCATATGCATCTATTCCATTACAGCAGAATTCACTATACACCAGCATCTGTTAACCACGCCCCTGGATCAGCTAACCATTGCTCGAAGCTGTTAGTAAAATTGGAGTCAATCCTAAGCCATGACTAGGACGTGAAGATAACATCCCGTTTAAGCTTATATATATAGTCTCTAAAAAAGCAGTTACCTTTTATAAATATATATACCTTCTAGGGTTAGGGCTCCTCATAGACATCAAAGTAATTAATGTTCATATCTATAGTAATATATGGTTACATTAAAGTGGCGTTTTTTGATGGAGACAGGAAAAAGTTTAATAAGAAATTTTTAACAATAAGTTGATCAATAATAACTAGAAATGATAATAGAGTTAGACAAATACGGTTTCGGTATCTCTTTTTCTTTTCATATTTTTATATCTTATATTTATATCCGTTAAGTATAAAATTTGTATTTTCATTTTCATTTTTGTGAAGTATTGAGTATACCTATATTTATTTTTTATATATGCTTAAAAATTAATATTTTATTAAAAAAATTAATATAGAATAATAATTAAAAAAATATGTTAATTAAATTTTAATTAAAATAGAATAAAAATTACATAAATGTCAAATAATTTTTTTAAAAAATAAGTTAAGTTTCTGAAAATTTAAAACATATGCGGGATGAGTATATATATATATTCATCCCTGTTTTCGTATCCAATTCAATAAATTGAATATTAATCATCTCATACTTATAATTAGTCAAATTAAATATTCTCCGTCAATATTAAAATAAATTTAAATATTATTGACGAATACAAATTTATTTATCATCTCTAACAATAAGTTCTGGTTGTCTTAATAAATACTTTGTATATTAAAAATTAATGTTTGGTACATCTCTCCCAATTTTTTCTCTCTTTTTTATTTATCATCAAAGGAATAAATAAAGAGAAACTAAAATTCGACACACAGAAAAGATCTTTCATTTTTATTTGTCAATGATAAATTGGATTTTGACTTTGCTGATTGGCTACTAGTTGTAATATCGAAATAGGCTATTGCTAGCATACATTTATACATTCGAAACGTGTAAATTTTAAAATAAACGATTTGTATCTATTTTATTAAAAGAAACAATGTAACAAATAACAATCAAAAAGGTAAACAAACTCTTTATAAAACATCTACCCAAAAAAAAAATAACAATCTACCAAAACAAAACTCTATAAAACTTCACTGGCAACTCCATTTTCAACAAACTTTCATGGAAGGTAACCATGTTGCAGACCATATTGCAAAAGAAGGCACAAGACAGAATGTTTCCTTCTCAGTTTTGGAAACTTGTCCTCTTTTTAATTATCAAACATAAGTTATAAGCTGATGCCTTATATTAGGTGTCCTGTTTGAGAGGCATAGCTAGCTTTTCTTTGTGTTTCCTTTTCTGTATTTCTGAAGCATAAAAAAACATAAACAAAATATTTTTATTCTTACGCAAGATGTTTAAAATTTAAATAAATATCCTAAACTAGTTAGCTAAAAAGAAAAAAAGTTTTGTGTATTCTTTCAATCTGCCATATTTAAATTACACTAATAAGAATTTTGTTTTAGTAAGTGTCCCGGGAACATGCAATATGTCAATAAAACACAATATATATATATATATATATATATAATTTAACAAATAATTAAAGAAAAGTATTTATAAAATGTTAAGGAATTAAAATTAATTAAATATTATAAAGCTTCTTTTAAACTTGTCGTTTTTGCTTCAATGACTATATTAATTTGTGCTCACAATCTTAATGAACATTCCTTTATATTGTCATAAACCCTCCTTTATTAGAAGCTAGCTAACACCACCGTTTGCGGATCCAAAAAGATAGATATCCTTCCCTTATCAAATAGAGAATATTGTGTTTTAAATTTTTCTCTATATATTTAACTTTGGTCATCCTTTACTTTGAGGATTATAGAAGTTACTACTCTTCCATTGCCAAATAGGATTTTTGCTCATTCTCTCTCACACACACCATTACCTTCTTGGCCATTAAATTAATGGCTGTGGTCTTTTGATTTGCTTCTTTATAGGCTTATTAACGAGTGTCAAGCCACAGTACTTAAATGGGCTAACTATTACCACGCCCACATAATTGAACAGGCTGGAAAGGCCCACCAACAGCTTTGATTTATTTTATCTGATTTTGTTTTATTTTTAGTTAAACATATTACATATTCAAGCAAGTTATATTATCAGCTAATATACTTGTTTGCTTTAAATTATTTTAAAACTGAGATTCTAAAATAAATAATCATTTCTTAGATAAAAAAATAGTTTTCTAAACATGGGCTTACTTACCATGCAGTATAATTAACGGTTGTTATAATTTGAGATTACATAACCTCGCTCACACAAAAAAAAAAATATATATATTGTTAATTTTTTTAATTAATTATTTTTAGTTATAACATTTGCTTATAAATGTTTTATTGAGAATTTGAGATATATAAGTAGCTTTTAGGTTTGAGATTAATCACTGATACGTTTATGCCATCTTCATACATATGTCCTGATTATGTTTTTATAAAAAATATTTTTGAAAAGTTTTTGAGAAATATAATTTATCTCCCAATGTTTCCTTAATCCTTAATCTGATACCTCCTAGTCTTCTACAATTAAGTTAATAAATAAAAGAATTTTAACAACTTAAATTAAATAAAAACAGCGAAGTTTTCATAATATTTTATAACTATTTCGCAAAGTGAAAAAGTTCACATTCTAATACCAGTCAAAAAAATTAAGTTAAAATATAATTAATAATAATAATAATAAATGTTCACTTGTCACTATAATGATCATACAACCCTCGAAGAAACTTGATTACTTGATCCTAAGTTTTATATTTACCAATGTTAACAGAAACATTACAAAAGAACCTAATGGTACATGTACATATAGGCAATGGATGAAAAACCTCTTGTTCATCCCAAAGAGTTTTCAGTTTAGTGAAATAATTGGTGACACTTGTCGCCACCGGCCCGAAACGGGCTTTCGGCATTCGCGAAGGATGGTTGGACTCGTTTATTTGTTTAAAAATGTGGATTGCTAGAATGACTTATTCTCAAACTGAGACCTCGTCAAACGAGCAATTTTATTAAAAGGCTCACCAATCCATGTTAATCCCAAGCGGGACCCTCCATGGATTAGTGGTTTTCGCAAAAGGAGGGTTCGTGGAGTCGCCACCAATGTTTTACTCAAAACATTGGAAAAAGGAGGTTTATATGACGAAATGCAAATTGTTCATTTTTTTTTCTCACTTAGCAACAATTAATTGATTATTGCAATTAGACGGGAAGAAGCCTTGTGATTGAACAGGGGGCAGTTGTTTGGATAAATAGCTTAATTGAAGTTTTTGTTTGATTAGAGTTTCGCTCCACATGTTTGGTTTAGCATTTATCAGTATTTGATCCGCGTCTAGTTATAGACATGAAAATGTCACTTGACCCTTGTATTTGATGTGCAAACAAACACAGGGTAAGTAAAAGAGCTTATGGGAGCTACTGTCAAAAGCTTAACTAAATACCTTCAATTTTTAACTTAAGTGCTTGTATGATAAGTCCAAACAAGATCTGCAGATGCTCTTCTGAGTGCCCCTGAATTGTATTGTTGTAATCTTATGTATCATGATGTATCCAAGATTTTGTGCCTGCCCAGTTTATTTCTTTCTTCATTGAAATAATGTGTATTAAACTGAAGAATGTGCTATAAGAATCTTTGAATTTAGTGGTCTTAACATCCCCAATAATCTATTTTGAAACCAGGAAAAACTATGACCATGGATCCAAACGAGGGGTTTTCCACCGTATGATATTAACCACACAGTGTAGGTATAGTTGCTTTCTTTATTCCCTCTTTCGGTCAAATAGTTAATTTCAGAGTGCAGCTACATATAGTTGCAATTGATGCCATCAATAATGGGCCCTGGGCTTGGAAGTTGAGTACAGGAAAAAAGAAAAACCCAATGAGCCATTTTTTGAAACCAGAGCATGTAGTATAATTAAACCAGAGCATGTATATGATAGAAACAAAGGGCCATTTTTTGATAAGCACACCTATGCCTATAGCCGAACTAGTGTTTGCTTAATGAGAAAAAACCATCACAGATCCCACACATTTCATGCATTATTCAGAGGTACACTAGTATCTCATTTGGATTTGCTTCCAAGGTACAATTTTTTCCTGTGAGAAGAGAAATAATCAATTTCTTATTACTTTTCTTATGCATTTATGGCATGTAATAAGTTGAATGAATCTTATTCATATGATGAATTTTACACCATTTTATTAGATTTACGCATCTTCAATTTTTTAAGAATTCCCTTTGTTCTAATATCTAATAATTATTGTATTGTACTATATTGGATTTTCTTATTTCTTTTAGGTATATTGATTTTTTCATGTGAGAATAATTATGGATAATAGTATGGTTGCATCATAGCTATGGCTTCCATGTGTTTATGATTTTATACATTATTAGATAAATATATTCAATTCAAAAAATTAATAAGTCATTTACCATCTGCTTCATTTAATTTAAACTATTTACAAAAAGGAAATATACTCTCTAAAGGTAACTCACGGATGGAAAACTTGAGATGGAGGAAAAGTATTCAGAAAATCACCATAACATCTCGTGTACCATACTACTAACTGTAGCACATTTTTCAGCCACGCACACTACCGCATTGTTGGTTCCTAATGTCAACCAGATTTTCTTTCTTTATCATTCAAGATTCTAGTTTCCTGTTGACTTCTCAATTTAATACCATTCATTTTATGTTCGTTTCTGTTAAAAGTTCCTATTTATTTATCATCTTAGGTGATTTTTTTTAATCACAATTCCACGTATATGAGTAATTCAATGTAAACTAAATGCGCAGAAGAGGCTCTGCGGGTTTTAAACGGCACACTTTTGGGTGGACAAAATGTTCGGCTTTCATGGGGCCGAAGCCCCTCAAACAAACAGGTAACTAAATTTTCTGATTTGTTTTGTAGTTATGATTTGCCTTAGCTTCAACCTGCAATGTGTAAATTGATTTTGATGGATGAATTTGGACTTTTTGGATGATTTTCAGGCCCAACCTGATCCAAACCAGTGGAATGGTAGCGGATATTATGGATACGCTCAAGGTTACGATAAAGGCTTTGGATGATACCTCTTGCTCCTTTTGTCATGATCAAATTCAAATTTTACTTTTTAGATAATTGATTTATTTTACTTTTTTTTTATCTTGCTTAATTTAGAAATTCAAATTGTGGAAAATCTAGCTGAAGTTGAGAAGTTAGTCAAAAGGTAAATGCATGCACCTCACTTGCTTAAGTCTTTAAATTGTTTATTTATATATTTTTTTTTGTTTGATTTTTTTTATAGTATGGTTCATATGCTGTTATTTTTATATAGCAAATCAAATGAAGAAAAGGCTAAAGAAGCTGCTGTTGAAAAAGATCCTAATACGTTGGAGTGTCCACTCAATGCGTTTTCCCTTTTCTTGTAATCTTCTTTCTTTAAAGTATTTTTCTATTTTTTTGATTGTTTTATTCAGTAATAATCTTTATTACAGGCAAAAATTTAAAAAACTTTACAATGAAGCAAATCTTGATTCCGAAAATGTTGAAAGGGTAAGTGAAAGTTATTAAATTGATATAATTATTTTTGATTTTATTTAGCCATAAACTAATTGATATTTATTTTAAAAAAATATAGGTTAATAAAATGGCTGTTAAAACATGGAAGTCCATGACAAATGAGGTAAGTCTAAGCCTTATTTTCATTTTAAAGTAATTTGTTATTGATTAAATCTCTTTTATGACAATTGAATCAGGAAAAAAAGACTTATTTTGATACAGCAGCTAAACTCAACGCAGAGGCTAAGAAATTGCAGCATATTGCATTAAATGAAAGGTTATTTTTATAATTTATTGTTTTATGATAATTTTTATTCACATAAATTATGATTTATGACATTTTTATTTTGATTTTGTTGATTCTAAATAGGTTGGCTCAGTCTAATCAAATAGGTATGTTGCTAACTTTTAATTTGTATCAGGTTTTTAACAATGAAGTGAGCTAGAATAAGAAATTGCATTAGTATACGTTATAAGAATTAACTACATTTGTTTTTCTTTTTTTATCTTGTTTATATGGGAATATGATGTAAATAGGTAAATGCACTCCACTTGGCACAAGTAGAACAATCAATGATTTTCAAGTAAAACAAATGGGGAAAAGAGAACATAAGCCCAAAGTTCATTTTGATATGACTAACTTGGATAAGTCAAAAAAGGGAAAAACTCACAAGAAACAACATAAGCAGAGTAAGTTGAAAGAGTTACATCTTGGTGGTTTCATTTTGTTATATTATTTTGACTTATGAAGAAACTTATTCTCTTTTATTTCATTCTTGTCTTTTTCTTTAGACATTCAAAATAAGGAAAATCTTGCTAAAACCATTCAGGTTAGTATCTTGTTCTAATTTTATTTAAATTTAAATTTACTACTTAAACTTGTGCTGAATATTTAAATTTAAAACTACTACTTAAACTTGTGCTAAATTTCCTCTTTTGATCACATGCTGATTTTTTAGTTGATCACATGCTGATTTTTTAGTTTTGTATTTGATTTTTTTTAAACAACTAGCTATAGAATAATAAATAAATAAATAAATAGCTTAATTTCCACACATAAAAAAAGAGAGAGAGAGAGAGAGTGAAAACTTAACATTATTTTGACTTACACTGTCCTTTGAAACAATTAAGTTTCAACAGTGCTGGATACTGTTCTAAGTGTACAAATCTTGTCTCTAGTAACCAAGTTGCAAACATTCACGTACCTAGCAACAAATAAAAATAAAAAATAAAATAAAATTACAAGATATAATTCTACCTTTATAGTGTATTTTATTATAATTAGGTACCGCCACTCGTACAAATGTTAAAATTAAGAATTATAGAAGTAAACATTAATCAGGATATTTAGGTGGCTATTTTTGCTTCTTTATGAAATTAGATCAAGGAACATAATTGCTTCCTTTATTTTGTTTATGTTGCAGGTTTTAGAGTGAATATGGTGGTGGTGGTGGCTGTGGCAATTTAGATCGTGTGTATATTGAAACATCATACTATTTGATATAGAAGTTACACAACTCAAAATGAGAATTCATAGAAAAATGCAACCGTAAAACTTAGATGATTTTAGTTTTATCTTTGACAGAAGAAATTACATGTTATTGCAAACTTGACAAATTAGTGTTGCCTTTTGAATGATATCATGATGGACAAAAAAGATTTAAATAAGAAGTTTATCTTTATTTTAATTCATTAAATGCATAACTTCATGCTTGCAAGTGTTACAATATAGTAAGTTTTCAATTCACTGTTTGAATTAATAAGGAAGTAATGGATTCAAAATTGTTATGATTTAGATGTTTAAAACAAATTTGTAACATTTGATAAATGTGGCAAAAGGTGTCAATTGACAACATTTATAAAATGTTACAAGTGATATGCTAAAATGTTACAAAAGATGTCAATTTGTAACATTTATAAAATGTTACAATTGGTATGTTAAAATGTTGCTAAAACCTTTTAGCAACATGGACTTTATACTACATTTGTAAAAATGTTGCTAATTATGATTGGTAACATTTTTCTTAATTTGGTAACATTTTTTAAATGTTGTTAAATGTGAAAGATGTTGTAGTCACCATCATTTGATCCATAATTATAATTAACTTCATGTGATTAAAAACTTACATGGAAATTATGTCATACAATACATTTAAAATAATATATATTTTTTTTTAAAACTTATCCTTTTACTAAAGCCTGTAAATCATTTGTCCACTGATTCTAAAAGGAGCAAAACAATGAGATTACGTTTTACATAGGGAAAATAGCAACTTACTGCTAATATTTCCTATAAAATCAATTTTATTTCCGACCCGGACAATTTTAGGGGTCTACAACACTAAGCTCCCCTTGTTTTAGAAATGTGATTGTGTCTTGAAGATCTGTACAATGTGAAATAAATCTCCTTAAGAAAACCTCTCTTCAAGATCAGACCAGATGCTTGAAGTAGTGTCTCTCCATATAACACTGTGAGCTATAAATGGTAAAAGGGATTGTCGAAGCCATGACACAACCATCATATTTGCTTTCTACCAGGCTGGATATATAACACTTGTGTGAGCTAGAGCTGAAATGGTTCCATCAACGAAACCAGGCTAATTTTTGGAGACCAAACTCATGCGAAATGATCGTGACCATGATGGTAGTTTGGGCCATTAAGAATAGCAAAAACAAGAGGGATCTTGATATGGATCAATATTCATGATAAACGAGAGCTCTGATACCATAATACAAAAACACAGCAAAAATGAGAGGAAAATGATATTTGAATAAATGTTTCTTAATTTCTTGTCTCTGAAAGTAGAGCTATAGGGCCAGTATATACACACAAAAGTACTAAATGAAGAAATATACAAAAGAAGAAGGAAAAAAAGGGACACTTATGTTAACAAAATTAGTACAAAAAAGGTATAGAAGAGCATTGTTATGACAAGGCTCACTAGAGCACTACCATTGCAAAGATACAGCACTTTCAGAATTTGTATTGGCTCAGTTTCCTTCTAGGTGGCGAGTGTCCGTTTCCTTTGATATTCTCACTAGCACACTTATTAAGAAACTTCTCAAATGGTCATCCATTCATAAATCACTACAAGTAAAGCACACTTAATTGTAGATTTATTATTAATTGATGAGTTGCTAACAAGTAGATGCATCTTGTTGGTATATGTAGTATTAATTTATTTATTTACACATCCTCAAATATACAGTCTCACACCTTTACAAATCTTTGGACTTCTCTCATTTTGATGTATTTAAGTTGTTGCAAACTCTCAGCTTTCACTTTGTTTGTCCACAAACCACACCATAAGTAGGGATGGGAATAGTTCAAGTTAGACCAAACTTTAAACAGGTCAGGTCATAGGCTCATGTTTAAAGCATGAATTATTCACATCCCTAGTAACACCTCTCAAATTTGATGTATCAATGATTACATATCACATGATTAAACATCACAGAACTTCTCATGGTCAGAATTCTTCAAAATTTAGAACCCTTCGTGGTTAGTTTTTTCTAACATGTCTAGCTTGTTTTCGAATCAATGATTGTCCTCACAAACTAATACAAGACTTTTCGACATATTTTGTCATCATTAGTAAGATTTTTTAGAAACTTCCAAAATTAAAGGTTACCCATCCCAAAATCGCTCCAAGTCAAACACACTTAACTATAGAGTTCTTAAGTAATGAACTACTAAAAAAAATAGACGCATCTTGTCGATATAGGTAGTACTAATTATCTCCTCAAATTCATTCTCAACTATACAATCTTACACCTATAGAAATATCTAGATCCTCTCATTTTGGTGTGTTCAAACTATTACACCATGTGTAACAAAGATCACCGTTCAAGGTAAGAGGAAGAGTGAGATTATCTCACATGTGGCTGCCTATTAAGATTGAGGGTAGTAAGACGATTTCAAAGTGTTTTTAGCTCTCTTGTATGCATTCAATGAATTTATGTGTTTTTTGGATTGAGTATTGTTGTATGATCATATAGTTTTATGATTTTTGTGATTGGTTGGGATGATTTGAAATATGTCAAGGGTTTACTTCTTTTGGGTGTTAGGGTTTATGTAAGTGAATTAGGGTTCTTATATGATTTGATTGTTTAATATAAGCATAAATTTCATATATATAATTGTTCTATAAATGAATTAGGAGTATTCTACCGAAGAAATTGGGACTAAAAATGTTAAGCATAGTTTGGGTGAGCTTTATAACATTAAAACTTTTTCTGTAAGTGCAGACATCGCAATCACATTAAACGCGGATTCATAGTATTGGGTAGTAGAGAGCTCTTTGTACCCTTAGTGTCAAGCACAAAATAGCCCACACCATGTGCCATTTGATGTTGTTTTATGTAAGTTTCGCATCAAGTGTTTCCTCAACCACATTGGCCACAAGATCCCTAGAGAGGTTATTGACCTCTCCATGATGAGCACAAAAAATGCCTCATCAGGCACGATAATTAGGACATTTGATCTTCATAAGAATTGTAGCCCAAGATGTTATAACTTTTCAATCATATTGAAATCACCTAGAAAAGAGGTACAGAAAATATATGGTCAAATTAATGAACAACAATCAAGTTGTCAAATTTACGTTTAAATGTTGCGATTTTGTAACTTAAGTATAGTAGATAGTAAAACCAACACTTGAGATCAACACAAAAGTTTTAGACAATTGTCTTAATTTTTTGATAAAGTTAAGATCAATTTAATAGAATGTGTAGCTCTAGATATCCCATTTAAACAACAAGAGGTCTTCAAAATTTAGGAAATGAAAAAAATAACAACTTGTGAGTGGTAATAGCAAATTATTTTCTCCTTTAAATGATTAAGCTAAGCAATAGTTTGAGATACATATATTAATAATTAAGAAAGAAAAAATGTGAGAGGAAACATTTGTGAATGAGTTATAAATAGGATATGATGAAGGTGTGAAACTATGTTTATGAGATCTAGTGTTTGAGACTTTGTGCCTGTATAGGATATAAGATGCTTATGCGTGTTATGTGTGATATGAAAACTTTATGCATGATACGAGCAAGTCTAAGTAGTGGTTTAGTAGTGTGAAATCCAAGTTTTCTTAGTCATTTTTGAAGTCTAAACGAAAAAGGCTTGCACAGGGAATTCTATGCTTGATCTAACAACGTTATATATGTGAAAGACACATTATTCATTTCTTATGTATCATGTGTTTTGTTTAAATACCATGTACTCATGTGTATTTCGTTTGGAGGTAGATGCAAGTCTATGATAGGTTCTCCATGGTCTTTTACCTTGGTCTCATGGGTATTACGGTGGAAAACCTCTAATATGGAATGGTAGGATGACCATACATAGTTGTGATACGCTAAATAGCTCCAAATAGTTTTTGTTATAATGGGAGTGGACCATGTGTTAAGTGATCGGTGTGTGGTGACCATTTTTCTTATTCATGTCTCGTAGGCTACTTCATACGTGTGAGCCTTGTGCGAAGTGTGATCGGTATACCACATGCATAAAAAGATTAAGAAAATGAGTCTTATCTCTTGTGAAGTGATTGTGTATGAGCTTGACTTGTTGTTATATGCCTTTAGTTACTACATGTTATCTTCATATGTGCCTCTTTCATGTGAGAGACATATTCCTACTCTTCTGTCCTATGTTGTGTTCTCTTGTTTGGGTTGAATGCCAATTTTAGGTACAAATTAAGTAGATGATTAGTGTTAAGCCTAGAGGAAACCAAGTTTAGGCCTTAACTTTACTTTTTTTTAGGACAATTCTAATTAGTGTGACATTGAGGTTTAGAGGATGAGTTTTTTTTCTTTCTCTCTTATATTTGTTTTAAGTGAATCTTGTTTTGAATTTGAAGCTTTTTTTATTATATTTAGCTTTTTTGACTTCTTCTAATAACTTGTAAAGACAATTTTATATTCATTTATATATTTTTTCATAACATTTTGTTTTGTTGTTAAACATTAGAGTTTTATCCATTATGGTGTACGGTGCGATTTTTTGCTTATGAGAAAATTCTTTTATTAAGAATGATATTTTATTTATTATATTATTATATTAAAATGTCTTGGAGTAAAAGGGTGCCAAGGGATATTTATATTAACTCTATTTACTTCATATCTATGAATACATTTACTTGATTGTCAAAATTCTTATCAGTGAAATACACTAAAGTTTGGCTTGTGAAAAACTATCACAGATTCCAAGTGTTGCTTTGACTATTCCATACCTTGGATTTGTGTTGAGCGAGTTTTATGAAAGTTTTTTTTATTAATCATATTTAAAATAAAATGAGAGAATCAGAATGTATTTACAATTAATTAAAATTAATTTATATTTAAAAGATGTTTTAAGTTCTTTTTATGTTTTATTTTGTTTTTGGACTTGGTTAACAAAAGATTCTATTAGTTCTATTTAGAATTAGGCGTTGTTAAATCATAATTATAATTTTGGTTCATAAATTGAATAATTATATTTCTCTCACCACAGTTATCTTTTATTAGTGAGATTAAAATGCTTCGTATTTCTATTAAAAATAAAATAAAAATTGAGATTAAATAATAAAAATGTGTTGATCTAACTAGTGTTGCAATTGATCCTTCAATCTTAAAATTTTAAATTTGAATCTCAGTGTTTGATAAAAATATTAATTTTTTAAAAAATTTGAATAATAAAAGAATAT